TAGAAATTATGAAATATTGTAGAGCATAATACTCTATAATAGCCGTTTTATTTAAGGAAACTTATCCAGAAATTTCCAGGAGGGTAGCTTAGATGAGGCTTTACAGAGGAAATGGCAGTTTAGAAATAAAGTATGGAAAGCAGTTAACAGATTAAATCCAAGGGAAAGAATATGCTTAGCAATGAAAAAGACAAACATGATGGTCCACTAATTGATACAGCCCTCATACGGAATTAGGAAAAGTACACCTTGGGTCAAATTTGAGATTGTGGACAAAATGAAAGCAGTGAAGGTGAAAAGAGAAGTAGAAATCACCTCATGTGTGGTGGTCTGTGCCAGGTCTGTGTGGAGTTTGAGCTTTTACCCTCCAGGGATGAGCAGCCACTGCAGTCTTCAGGAATACAATGGCATGCTGCAGATTTAATTTTGAAAGATACTAGTGAGTAGATTGCACTGGGACAAGGTTGGAGCAAGAGGAGGCAATGAAAACTCTTAAGAATACAAAGAACAAATTGGGGCTGGAGAGATGACTGAGTGATTAAGAGCATTGGCTGTTCTACTTGTAGAGGACCCAGGTTCAATTCCCAGCACCCACACAGGGGCTAAGAACTGTCCAGAACTCCAATTCCCTGGGATCTGACACCCTCTACTGGTCTCCATGGGCATTGAATCAAAGATGCACTTACATATATTTGGCAAAACAAAACACACAAAATAAAAATAAATAAAAAATTTTAAAGATTACAAAAATAGTGGTTTATCTGGGTAATATTAGAGGAACAGAGAGAAAATGGCATATTTGAGATGGTTTTAAGGATTAAGATCAGCTGGATTTTATAATTTTCATTTTTTAAATTTTCTTTTTGATTTATTTATTTTTATTTTATGTGTATGAGTGTTATACCTGCATGTGTGTAAGTGCACTCATGTCGTGCAGTGCCCATTGAGGACAGAAGAGGACATTGGATCCCCTCGAACTGGAGTTATGGATGGTTGTTAGCCACCATGTGGGTACAAAGATTCAGACCCCTGTGTACTCCAAGAACAGCCAGTGCTCTTAGCCACTAAGCCATCTCTGTAACCCGGATTTTGGAATATTCTGAATGTAGAAACCTTTAAGAAAGGAGAGGAATCAAAGCACATTTCAATGAGACATAGAAGAGAAAACCATAGGTTTTCATATAAGTTGATGTAATGGAACTTGGACACTCTGAAGCATTTTTAAGTTATGAAAAATGTATATTGGGGGCAGGCATGGTGGTGCATGCCTTTAACCCAAGCACTTGGGAGTAGAAGGAAGTGGATCTCTGTGAATTCAAGGCTAAAAAGTTCTAGGCCACGCAGGTCTACAGAATGAGACTCTATCTCAAAAAAAAGTGCATATTGGGAAATGCGTAGTAGTTGTGTAGGGACACGATGATTGTATTATGGAGTTAATACTGTGTGTCATGTAATAACTTTCTTTTGTATTTTAACTACTCTATTATAAATTACTAAATCCCATCTTTTTGGTGTGGCATCTTATTATATAATATTCTCAATCAAATAACTTTGCTTTGTCTCTTTAGGGAGTTTTTGCGTTTGGCGAGCCCTTTGAATTGTGGTGCCTGGGACAAAAAACTCTTAAAACAATATAGGGTTCACAAACCAAGTTCACTGAGCTATGAACCAGAGATGAGAGGTAAGCTAACTTATAAAATCCATTTCCCTGGTTTATTTTGTTAATGAAATTCATGTGAAGGATGAGTACTGTTTAAAGAACTTTAAAGAAGAAAAGATTTTTAAAGTGGGTGGTATATAATCTAGTTGTTTAACTGAGCAAGGAAACAGGGTGAAATAAAGAGTGATGAATGGTATATGGCTCTCAAGGAAGTGAAAGTTTTGGAACAGATTAGCCCTTGACATGGAAGAGGAAGCTCCTCTTTTTCAGAGGAGATACACTTTCTTTGCCTTTCCCAAGTACCCTTTGCTGCCTAGACCAGGGCGTGGTTGATTGGAATATTATAAGTGGGGATATGGATTTGCAGGACAGACACTACAAGAAGACCTGGAGGATGGGATATTAGGAATCTTGACAAAAGTATGCACCAAGGAGTAGGGACATGAGCGGAAAAGAGAGGAAGCCATGTGATTTCTGGACGGAAGCTTACTGGAGCAAGGGTGATTATGAAAAAAAAAAAAAAAAAGAATATATCAGATGGATTGTTTGTGTGGACACCAAACTTGTCCAGCACAAGAACAAGAATTAACAGAGAGAAGACTGAATGAAATCAACAGAAGAATTTCATGAGGACACGAGTAGATATAGTTTACTGGAGACATAGATTTGCTGAGGAGCCTCCAAAGAGATGTTGCCCTGGGAGGAAGGGAAAATGACCTGGGGAGTGAGCAGAATGCAGCCACTTGGGGAGCTATAGGTGCCATCAGCCCAAGAGCTGTGGGTCCGAAGCATTCTCTGCAGAGCTCTGCTGACTGATGGTGGTAAATTCTGTGGTTTTCTCACTTTTTTACTTTATAATTCCTTTTGGATTATTGCCATTGGAGATAAGACTGATAAGGCGGAAAATTTGTTATGATTGATTAAGATGACCACTATTAGTGAAAACAGGCAAAGAGGATACTTGGAAAAATGGAGCAACTGCCTTTTGCTAGTGTCTCTTGTTTTTTTAGTTTTTTGAGTCAGGGTCTTTCTGTAGCTGCAGCTGACCTAGAATTTAGCTGTTGTTGACCAGGCTGGCCTTGATTTCACAAAGATCCATCTGCCTCTGCCTCCTGAGTGCTGGGATTAAACGCCTGTGCCACCACATTCTTGTTATTGTGCTGGAGATTAAGCCTAGGCAATTGCTCTGTCACTGAGCTACATCCCCAGCTCACAACTGCTTTGAAAGGAAGTAATATACATCTAGATCAGTCTATTCATTTGGAGGGGTGAGGCTTCTGATGTCATATTTATCAACCTTTCTCCTATTACCAGTGGAAACTTTAAGGTCTTTTGAAAAGTTCCCAGCTGGTTTTATGGGAAGGCAGAATGGTTTTTATATTAATATACACCCCCTTACTGATTTCTAATCTTTTTTTGTATTTTACACACTTCTGTAGAACTGAGTTATTTTCCTTTGCTGAAAGTAGCTCCTTTCCCTAAGGGAGTATTAAAACATGTCTATGGTCATCCAAGTAGTAGGTACATTTAAGAAGCAAATAGTCATCCATAATCATGTGACTCATGTTCAGAGGAAATGCCTTTTTAAAAAAATATTTTATTGATCCTCAGGTCTCTTGGGGTAAGTCTATAGCGCAGCTCTCCGCGCCAGGACTCCCTAAGCCACATTCACCCTTCCATCCCCCCTCCCTCGCCGTTCTATACTCTTAGTTTGGGCCCTGCGCCATTCCTAGTCTTGGGGCCCCAGACACCTGGGGAACCAATACTGCTTCCTGATCCTTCTCACCCAGACCAAATCAGTCCCCTTCTTGGGCCCCAGGAGCACCGCTTCTGGTCCTGGCCCTGCCCTCACCTCTCTCTGCTTCCCTGGGTCTGCACCACCGGCTAATTCTCCTAGCCTGCACTACTATCCTCAGGCCTCTTGGGGTAAGTCTATAGCGCAGCTCTCTGGGCCCGGACTCCCTAAGCGACATTCACCCTTCCACCCCCCCCACCCGCCGTTCTATACTCCTAGTTTGGGCCCTGTGCCGTTCCTAGTCTCGGGGCCCCAGACACCTGGGGAACCGGTGCTGCTTCCTGATCCTTTTCATGCAGGCCAGCTTGATGCCTTCCTTGGGCTCCAGGAGCACTGCTTCTGGACCTGGCCCCGCCCTCACCTCTCTCTGCTTCCATGGACCTGCACCACCAGCTAACTCTCCTAACCTGCTCTCCTGTCGTCAGGCCTCTTGGCCTAGGTCTATTGCACGGCCTTCTGCACCTTGACTCCCCCAGCCTCATTCACCCTTCCATCTCCCCTGCTGTTCTTTACTCCTAGTTTGGGCCCTGTGCCATTCCTAGTCTTGGGGCCCCAGACACCTGGGGAACCAATACTGCTTCCTGATCCTTTTCACCCAGAAAAACTCAGTGCCCTTCTTGGGCCCCAGGAGCACCGCTTCTGGACCTGGCCCCGCCCTCACCTCTCT